AAAAGACAGACACAGTTCTTATTAAAAATATTAAAATAAATAAGAAAGAAATAAGAAGAGATAAAATGGAGAACAGATAAAGCTTTAAAAGTGTTTAAGTCAAAGGTTTGTTACATCCTTTTAAGAACTGTCTGCACACAAAATTGGCATTTCTTAAAGTAATATCACTATTTAGGTTGTCCAGTTCAAATGCAGCAAATATCAGCAGGTACTCTCTCTAACCAGTTCCTGGTTTACATAGCAAACCCATGTAACTGTGTGCAGAGCACACTTTGGACTCATTTTTAACAATCGGATGGATGGACCATCACCTGTTTTCTCCTCCCTTTGACTCTGCCAAATAGCAGAGGGGATGCCATCACTACTGGGACCTGCCTTGCCCAGTTCTTGGTCACAGCCTTAGGCAGGGCAGCATCGGTGGAGAGCCCTGGAGGAAAGGGTCTCAGCAGGAGCCTTTAGAGCTGCCAAAAAAATCTGACAAGTTTGTGTCTTCGCTCAGTTTGCCCACCTGCACTAAATCATGTGTGTGTGCATATTCACAGTTAATTCCTATGAACTAATCCATAGCTAATGGGTTCAAGGGAATATAGAAAGACATGAAAAAATTAAAGCCTTCAGGAAGATAACTTGAGCCTCAACTACTCTAGCATGGGAGCAACTGGGAAAAACCACACTGTGGGCAAGGTTTGGGGCTGATGATGCTCTGCTGCTGCCAGGCTGATTTTGGCTGCATTGTGTCTCACAGATCACAGAAAAAGTGGTGGTGGGGGGAACTTTTCAAGAGGAGATTGAGTGCAGGGAGTGAGCCTTGCCAGTTGGTTCAGAAAATTCAGGAAAGCCCCCAAAACAGCTGTTGTACTTTATCAGCATCAGCTTGGGATAGCTGCATTACATATAAGTGGGGAAGCTCCAAGCACAACATATAAATAATACTGACAAAGACTTGCGTTTGTGGATACATATATACATTTTTTACCACTCCCTCCACAAATTCTGTACCCTCTACATCACAGGAGATAGTACTCTCTATTCAATAAAAAAACTTCTGGAATTACAGCGATACCCCAACTACTAAATTTTTGAGCAGCACGTTGTCAGATAGCGTCAACACATTTCCTTGAGACCGAAACTCCACAGGGCATGGTGCTACACTAAAACAAAGGGATACCAGTTCATAGAATCTCATTTAAGACAAAGATTGTTGAAAAAAAATCAGAAAAATCTTCACAAACAAGCAATAGAATCTGCAGCTTCTTTTCCCAGTGAAATTCACAGCTCTTTGCTTTGTTCTCTTCCCTGCTGTACTGCTGACTTCAGTCCGCTACTGGTTGTATTTTCCTTTACTGAAAAGAATTCTGAAAACATTCTGCCTGGTGACGCACTTTTTTTTTTTTTTAAACAGGCAACCTCTGCTAAAGTATAAAGGTGCAATTTGCTGTAGCTGAGTTGTTTCAATAATATGAAAACCATAAACTGCGGGTAGATGTAATATCTTTTAACAGATATTTTCTGGTACAGCTTAAAAAATTAAGCCACTTTCAAGCACAGAAATGTTTTTATGAGTAAAATAACCTCCTCTGATCCAACCTCCCATGGCAGGGAGGTTAGATTAGATGATCTTTAAGGTCCCTTCCAAACTAAGTAATTCTATGATCCTACGATATCTTCAGAATGAAAAGTCTTAAACAGTTTGACAGTGGTTTCCTGCAGCCAGGGAGATCACAGCTGACCCAGCTGAGCTGGTCTTGCCCAGAAACAGCACAGCCAGGTGAACTGCCCAGTTTCCCAGAGAGATTTGGCAGGCTCCTCCGAGCTCTGCATTGCTTTCGTTCACTTAAACCAAATTCTGGTACCTGCACGTGTCACATCTTGACTCCAGTGCATTCCAAAAGCAATAAGAATTTATCACCTATGGTCGAGGCTTAATGGACTGATCTCTGGGAATTAAATTCTCATTGAAATGTTCTCAAAAATCTGGCTATAATCTCCCAGGGAAAAATCAGCAGTGTCTGAAGAATCCCATGGTTGTTTTCCACAAACTTGCAACAGGTCACAACGGGAGACACAGTTTCCCTTTTTTGCTAAATTCAGCTCAGCAGCATCTCTCAGCACGTTCAGAGTGTGTTCCCTGCATTCTCTTTGTCTCAGTATCTCATTAGCACAAATCTGCTATTTCCAGCTAAATGTCTTAAAATGCATATCCAGTAGTAATCTTTTTTATGTCATAATTCTAATTATTTGCACTGAAAATAGTAAAATTTCCTTTTGAGAAAAAACAGAAATACATCTAACCATTTGTTTCTTCTCTTTAATAGTTCCCTGCTTTCAAGGCTTCTGCTGAGAACTTTGCAAATGTCTTAAATAATCTGTCACCTTTCTAATTTATTTCTTCCTTGGTCTGAATAAGAGGCTCATTAGTGTTTAAATCCAAAGGAAGCTCTGAAGATATATTAGTTTTGTGGCACCGTTAGACTTTTTGTGATGCTGCTTCCTAAAACTAATCTCCATTTCATTAAGAACAAATTGGATATGACTTCAATCATAATTGAGTAGAAATTAAAGTGTAATATCCATACTGTGCATAAAATTCTAACCAAAAATATATCCTTTAGCTAATTGCAGGAAGAACGAGCGTGAAATCAGCAGTGCTGCATATTAATCTGCATTAGGCTACACTGTTTTAATGTTAAAATATGAACTAAAACCACCTAGACTCTGCTCCCGCTGCTACCTTGTTATCCTGTTAATTTATATGTTTCACAAAGGTTTTCAATTTCAAGATGATAGACTTTGTAAAACTGAGGGAATCGATTAACAATGTGAACTGAGTGAGAAGCTCAGGAACTTAAGCGAGAAATTACTTAATCAAAAGTACCGAAAATAACACGAAATCTGTATTTCACACACGGGGATACTCGTCAGAAAGAAGATTCAGCCTTGTACTAACCAACTGCCTAAACAGAAGCTGGCCAGTGAGAAAGAGGTCACAAGCAGTGAATGAAGTACTGATCTACAGGAAAAGCAGGATCTTGAAGGTCTGGAAGTGCAGAGGTTATCGAGCATCTGCCACAACTTACAGTAAAGTAGCTTTCGCAAGGGAAGTCAAATCAAAGAAGAGTGAGCCCTTAAGCATAAACAGAAAAAAAACAAGCAAAACCATAGTAAATGAAGACAACCTCAAGTTTCACGACAGTGCAGAGCAGGATGGACACTAGCAGGATGGACACTAGGAGCATAGAGGCCACTGCAGCCAGTTCTCTCTGTTCCCAAGCAGTGAACAAATCAGTTCCAAAAACAGCCAGGCTAACACAACTGCCTCTGAGCAAAAAAATCCCCACTCAGAATCGAGTGATCCAGTGATGAGAGAAGTAAAAGCAATGTCATCCATTTAAAGAGGAGGGAAATTATATGTACTAATATGGAATCATTAGTATGAAAACTGTTAAAAATATTTTGATGGAAATAATTATCAAAAGCATGGAGGTAAGTAAGGAAAATAGAAGAGACTCCCAAGGATTGGTTGTGACAGGCTGAACTAGTCATCTTTCTTGGCAAAATACCAAATTTTTTAGAGAGCAAGCAGAGCTGGGCTTCCGTAAAACACTCAGAAAGGTTCACCCAGAAGAGGACTGGGACACAGTTAAACAGGCAAGCAGGCAGAAGAGAAACACTAATGGTTGTGTTGATACAAGAACCATTGGAAGGGAAGAAAGTAAACAGAGTTCTGGAGAAGCAGTCCTCGAATCAAACTTCATTTGGTATTTTCATTTTACAGCTCAGCAGAAAAATAGAAGATCGTCTAATAATACAAAGAGACTCATCCCATCTAAATCTTCTTGTCTAAAAATCAGGCTTTTACTGGAAAATAGTTGCTCCTTTCATAGTCAATGTAGAAACAGGCACCTCGGAGGGCAAGTCTGTCTAGAGATGTCTAAGACAGTTGCTTCTTTCCACTGCCTGTAGAGGAAGTCTAGATGATTTTATTAAACAGCCTAACCTTCAGATAGCTAAGCCATGCTATTTAGTGGTTGGCATAACAGACATAGCTCACGGAGAAAATATTTAATTCCTGCAATGCATTAGAATTAACTTTCTGCAATCCCTGTGTACATACAGGATAGGTTTTGGCTATATCCTGACCAGACCTGGTGTTCAGCTGTACCTAATGAATGGGCTCCCTCCACTAACATGCACCAGCCTTCTGCTCTCCAGTAGAGGCTGCCTGCCTTCAAAGAGCAATACTGATCCAAAGGTTTGTGGGGTAAAGTTCAGAGGCAGATCTCCATGGGCCAAAAAGCATCTGCCTCCAGTATGCCTTTACAATGAACTTAGAGATTGCAATACTGAGTATCAAGTGATGAAATAATAAAATATATTAGCGTTTAGTAGCCCCTGGGCAAGATTCTTACTGCTGAGGTACATATCTGGAGAGGGGATTAGGTAATTAGAACATAAATCCCTTTTCCTACTTTGTAGTTCTTAGCAATTCTTCAACTCTGAGCTTTGCATTCTCAGAACTTAATGACAGGGTGCTGCATAAGGAATTACTAATGCAACTTATATGAAGCGTACCATAGATACCAAACACAGGTTCCTTTGTAGAGTATGCCAAAAACATACTCTTACCTGTAATCATCAAAACAAATAAAAAATACTATTTTGAACTAGAAGCTCTTTAATGGCTATTTTGTAAATAATAATCTGTCTTTATGTATGGTTCTGTCCTGCAGCGCGGCATTTGGTGGTGCCTACTACCACAATCCACCATGTAATTCTTGCTCACACAGAGGACTCATTTCAGTTCAAATTTTAAGTTGCATGGTCAGGAGCGGAAGACACCGAATGCAAAATACCAGTTGAAAAAAATGTGCATACTATCAGATTCTTTCCCTTCCCATTTTCTGCTCCCCTTTCCACAACATCTCTCATTTAGTCTAACACAGAAACCAGGAGTTAGGTGCTCAGCAGTGTTAAAGCTACAACGCTTTCTCCATACTCACTTTTGGCACATGTGGATTAAATTCTACTGCTCTATGAATAGCTTCTACTGCATTCATCTCTGCAGTACTCAGCCCTCGCCTTGAGGCAGCCTCCGGAGAAAATCTACAAAAGCAAAGAAACGAACACATTAGGTCAGAAATATTGATTTAAAAAAAAAAAAAAAGACAGAAAAGGAATCTAGAACATGGGCCCATGTAACTAAACTGAGTCAATCTCCTGTGGTCTCCAAACTTCCATAGCAAGTTGAAACTCTGAGTGATCTACTACATCAAGGCCAATGAAAATCCCAGCAGAAGTGGAAAGCACATTTGCATCTAATCATGGCAGAAAGTCAGTTCAAACAGTCCTGTCTCTGTCACTAATCTAAATTTGCTCTAGGTACCTTGCTGAGGGGCATATTCAAGGCTGAAGTTGCAGAAAAAAAGAAAAACAAAAAAGAAAAAAACACCACCAAAAACCAATGCCAAATTATTGTTGGAGAGCTTCTATTAAAAACAGGTTTGGGGAGGTTTTTGGGAAGTTCCCAACCCAATGCCCCCGGGTCAGGTTGGGATGGAAGCACGATGCAACAGCAGTAGCGGGTGGTCTACTGGCCGCAGCACCATTGAGGGTAGCATGCCCAAACTGTGGGCAAATCATCTGCCCCAGTGAATGAAAAACCAGACCATGCAATCTCTTTCTCACCTCACACCCCACGGCTAACTCCAGAGCTGTACTTGGCAGGCAGACACCACAGGGAAAGCTGTGACAACCTTAGCCCTGCCCTCCCAAGCTGGAGTCGCTGTGTAGGGAGGAAAGATGTTGCAGTAGGTACTGGCGATCTACAGGATAAAAAGAATGAAAGAAAATTACTTAGATCTTGATGTGTACATAACACTTTAAAAGCAAAAACTTGTCAGGATGTCAGTCAAGAAAATGGCTTTCCACTCTACTTGCTTTCCAACTCTAGGGAGGCATTCGACCCTCAGGTGCACAGACACAACTCTGCCTGGGATTTGTGTGAAGGCATCTGAGAGCAGAATCGGAGGTATTGAGCTCCATCTCACAAGGAGCTGAGCACCCTTTCAGAGTGAGCCAGTGCTCTCAAGTCCACAGGCATCAAGTGGATGTGCTCAGCACCTTGGAAGGTTGAGACCCAAGAGAAAACCGTAACAGGAAAGAGCAGGTATTTGTGTGTCTAAAAATATGAACGTCATCTACCTCTCAGAATCCCTGACATAGTAATGCTAAATCCACCTGCCGCTATTTAAGACATGAGCAATCTTCTGACAGCGTTTGTAAAATGACACTGCTACCAATACATCCACATTTATTTATTACCTTTTTGTGGTCAGGTTTGTACAAAGTTGAAGAGGTTCAGCCACACAACACCTTTTAGCTATATCTTCATCATACTATCTAGGAAGCCAAAGCTCCCCCAGACAGTATACAAAAAACGGAAACATATGCTATTTCTCTTCTTTTCTTCTTCTGTAACATTTGAAGTGCAATGTTTGATCACTGCATTTTTGTTCTTGTATATAAAGTCATTTTATGAATTTACTGCAGGACTGAATTCTCCTGCTAACCCAACAGATTGTTAGGGTGTGGGCTCATCTAAGAGAAATCTTGAGTTAAATCAGGAATTTTGCTGGACAGTGGTTCTTATGTACTTACTTGTCAGAGACAGCTCTGGCTTTGAGCAATGCAGCTGTGTAACATATTGTTGCTGATTTTGGTAGGCTTATATCTGTTGAGAACAAAGAAAGAAGTAAACATCTGAAAATGTAAAAGTCTGCAGAAAAACAAATGGTTGATACTTCGGAGTATGCATGGCATACATAAAATTATTAAGTGAATTTAGAATACTTTCTGATCTTGAGACTTGTACTTCCAGGTCACATGGATTTTTAAATTTCCACCCAATATGCAGGCCTTAAAACCTATGCTCATGACCACTGGAATTGCCATTTAGGCAGCAACTGGGTTCATTAGAGAACTAATTCAAAGAGTGAAATTACAGAGACATAATGAAGGAAGTCATTACTTCATATATAAATGTACAGGTAACCTGGAATACATGAATTTTTCCATAGTTCACAAAACATCTAAGTAAAAGCTGAGGGTAATTTTATTCACACTTTTTGTTTTCATTCAGAAGCAGTTATCTAATATGGATATGTTACAGCTTAAAAGTTAAGACAGCTACTTAAGTAATAATGGATGTCACTTGCAAGCAAATTATCATTAGATTTGTTGCAGTTAAAGAGCAGCACTAAAATAAGGTGTTTTGGAAATCTTAATGAAATCTTGGACCAAAAAGTTCACCAGACAGGCTCTGGCCTTTTTTTGCTGTTCTAGAGGCACAAGCGAGCCAAAAACCTGACTTAACCCATGAGTTCCACTTAATTTATATGTGTTCTCTGCCAGCAGATTGGTACAAAGTATCCAAAAGTTTGAGAGAAATGCTGCTTCACAGAGTTGAGTTATAGATTTGTTCCCACCGTTACAGAGAAGAATTGACTGCCACACTAGCAGTCTACCCAAGAACACATATTGTATGTGACTGAAATATTCCAGCATTAAAAAGTTAAAGATTACAGCTACATGGGGAGGAAAAAATAAAAGGGAGAAAAAGAACAACCTCCACTAAAGGCTGGATTCTGAAAACACTTTGCACACTGCAGTATTATAGCTTCCTATAGTAAACAGCAAATACACTGGAGTAGGCCCCTTGTAAAAGCGAAGAGTAGCTTACCTAACTATTGTTCTAAGAGACTATCTATCCCTCAGCCAGTCAGTAAAGTGGATTAGAGAGATGAAATTACCACAGAGCTTGGTAACTTCAGGGTTAAGAGAAACTTGTGATTTACTGAACCCCAGTCCCTTCCAAGAGAGGGCTCCAAAAGGGTGTTAGAGATGACAAGCAAGTCATATCTCAGCAGTCAGCATCCTTCACTTATTAACAACCAAGCAACCAAGCAGAATGTTGTTGTGTTAGACAGTAAACATTGCCAGAATGATCGAGGCACTTCGAAAATGCTACCTGTTAAATCCTCTCTGGTGTCATTTTATGCACTTGCACTTCAAGAATGAGATGTAAAGATCTTGTTGCATGCTCCCCTATAATATATTGCAATTATAATTTCACTGGAGTACGTAATTGTAGTGACTGAAGTAATTAAAATCAACAGCATGCAAAGTGGTCTGGGTGATAGATATGTTAATTACTCCACTAATAGAAGCTAGCTACAGACACAGACGTGACCATATCTTCAATGACAGGAGGAAATAAACATTCATAAGTGCTTTAATAACCCTGCTTATACTAGGTTTTCCCTAACATTAGGAGTTTAACGTTATTGCCCGTAAACAGAAATGACCTTCTTCAGACCATATTGGTCTCTTTTCTTTCAGGATGAATCTTACTCATCAAATCATAAATGGAGTGAAAGGTAGAGGAATGGACAAGAAAAAAACACATCAAGAAAATGATTATGCTGTCGTTTATAAGGTTTTCAATTGGGAAACAGAATACTTTATTTTCCCCTTACTTGTTAGTTTTTCTTTGGGCCATTAAGCCACCATTACCTCATGGGAAATATTTTGCCCTGCATCAGTTCAATCCTAGTAACATTGGTTCAGGATCTGCCCTTTACAAAATTTTCCATGAATGATACAAAGCAAGAGTTCTACCTAGAAGTTCCTGGAAATACATTTTCCCAGGAAAAAGGCAAACTCCACACATTAAAAAAAAAGGACCAAGAAGAGAATGTGTCCAGACTCTTTGAACAGTACAGTGTGAGCATCACTTCACTTTTCTAACTGTTTGAACGAGCTGAAAACAAGGACAAATCAGGATGTCTGGAGTATCTAACTGACGGAAAAACAGATATTGCATCAATGAAAGATGATCCCTCAATTTCATCAAAGAAAGTGGATATGCCAGCAAAAGTCAGAACGACAGCAAGAAAACAGCAGTTCAGTCATTAACACACAATCCATGAGGTTAAACAATGAGACCACACAAAACTCCACATGTGTAAAGGCTTGTTTCTGCACCAGGTCACTGACACTTGACTGGAGAATGTCCAGTGGCAATTGCATGGGCCAAGTTGTGAGGATTATTACAATTCTTGGCTAAGAGATTAAGATATCACACAGTAGAAACTCAGCTTGACACAGGGTTAAATATACTAAACCAAAACACCCTATCACCAAATCATCACAGTCTGATCACTGCAATATTTTAGTCTTCCTGTAATTTAGGCTTCATCTCTGAAACTGAATCCTTGTATTTTACAGTAAAGCATTAAACAATTATACTTTGTTACAACTTGAATTTAGCAAGAGAATCAAATCTTCACTAGCCCTCGGAGATATGTCATCTGTCGGGAACCAAAGCGAAGTTTTTCATAAATGACTGTGTCCAGTTTTGTGAGCCATCTGGCAAAATATCTTCACATACACTGTTTCACACTCTCCTGTGATTACTTGTGGAGGTCCCACAATGTGCTGAAAGATGTGACTGCTATTCTGTTGTCAAAAACATCAAGACATTTTTGCCTAATACGAACTGACGTGTCAGTCTAAAAAAGGCTCTTGTTCCTTATTCCTTGTATTTTTAAACAGAATGCAAAACAGTATAGATTTAGTTTATGAGAATTTTCTTTCGATTAGTATCAGTCAGCTATGGGAAAGTGAAATCTTATTGGTTATTTGCTTCTTAAGTAGTTGCTTGTGAGAGTGAATTAATGGGAAGATGCTATGGATAGAGACTTGCAACCATAATATCACTATTTTTCTGATTCAGGATATCCAGAATATGCTATATATCATGTAAATAAGTCATGGGATCTACTGTTTTTATTAAATAGCAACTACACCAAGAAATTACAAATCGGGATATGGACTAGTGCAACATCCCCTGTGTAAGTCACCAGAAGGCCCTAAAGGCGAAGAGACAGGCATGTTGCAATTGCTTTAGAAATTAATAAACACAATATCTAAGTCACTAATCAGAAATTATTCCCTATTTTGACCCCAAATTATATGTTATTCCAAAGCCATCAATACAGATTTCTGTGGGCTTAACTTCAGATACGTGCACAGTCTTATCAAGATTCATAGGACGTAAATATATTTGCTGAAATAAGCAGTAGATCCGGAGTCCTAATTTGCACAGCAAGACCCTTCCAGTCAAACTGCTAGCTCTTCTTCATATAGCACTGGAGAGAGTACATTAAGTCCCCCCTGGAATCGTATTTCCAAATACGAAACTGCAAGTATATCAACAAACTGGAAGAGGATATGTGAAGAGGTAAAACAAAAAAATGGTGGAATATAGGACATATATTGTCCTATGGCTTGGGAGTAAACCCCAGCTCTGATTTTCTCTCCCTCAGCCTGTCTGTAGACTCTCACATTTAAGTGAAAGGCCAATACTTGCCCTGTCAGCACAGAACTCCCCCAGTTGTCTGCACCTGCAGGTTAGACTGTCAGCTCTTGCACAGGTGGTACGAAGAACTGTTTATGAGAAAGACTGAAAGTGCTCTAGCAAATAAATATGTGCAGGCTGGATCAGTGACGATGACAGAATAGAGATGTAGATATCTATAAAGACACACACGTTAAGGGAGAAAGTGAATTAAGCTCATACAAATGGTTAAAAGCAAGAGTAATGGGATGGAATTCAATAAAGGAAAGTATGAACTGAACACCAGGGGAAAAATACTTTGTTGAAAAGATGTAATATCCTGCATTATTATCTCCCAAGGGAATAGTCATTGCATTTTTCCACAAAATGTGGTAGAAAACATGCTGGCGGGAGGAAAACTATGAACATAACGATTTAACGCTTACTTTGTGCTTGCAAAATAAAGCAGTTCCAATTCACTGTGCTTTTGACATTTGTCCTCAGTAGGGGGCAACACCCCAATCAAACACCCACACAGCCACTGTGTATGTTGAGGCCTGGATTTGGTCCCCTGGACGGGAAAAATCTTTCAGCACAGACAAAAAGTGTTTATTTTGCCATGACCACAACTCAAAACTGTTCAGCATTGGAAAAATGCTGAAGGTCATCACTGGTTACAACCAGCGATGCTCAACAGTTTCACACACAAGTCTTGCTGAGATGTGTATCTCAGTGACCAGGCAGGTGTCAGCCCCTTTGATGTGACCAAGTTCAATCCTAAATTCATATAGAGGGGAGGGAATCATTTCTCCTAGAGGAGATTAGAAAGAGCAAGATTAGTATAATTAGTTTAGACTTTTTGTGCTTTTGCATGAGTGAGAGAATCAAAAGAAACCCACGGAATCATATGGCAAAAAAGAGACAGATGGTATGAACAGACACAGAACTGATGCAGAGACGTAGCTAAAGTGGCAAGTTTGACAGAGAGGAAAGAAATTAGTTTTTAGAGGCAGAAGCTGAAAAAGTTGTAATTAGAAAAGAGACAAACTATTCTCTTGATACTGCTGCTACACAAACTGGAAGTCTTACCTGATTTGCATCTCCTGGAAAAGGTACAACCTTAACTAGAAGGAACTTTCTCTTAAGTTCTCTCTTTCAGAGAAACTAAAAGATTATAAAATAGTGTGCACGAGGCAACGGTTGCTTCTGCACTGCCACTTGCTAAACCTTTAACTCAGACAAACATCCCTTCTTGCACTTCGATACTCAAAAATATCAAACATAATCACGGCAAGTAATGAAACCGATGGAGCGGAGCTGTGTCTTAAATATAC